TATCGGTTCGCGCCCAGGGAGCGCTGGTGCCGCCTGTGCGAGCTCATGTCACGCCACATGGAGCCCGGCACCGCGGTGCTGCCCGACCTGCACTCATGGTGGTACGAAGGTGCTCAGTGTCACAGCTAGTCAGTGACAGCTACTAGTCTGCAGCTAGTCTGGACGTGGTTGTTGATGTATAGGGACCGTATTTCACCCGGAACTCGTTTCGTCCATTTTGACATGTGTTTTGTGTGTACGTTATGCATATTTCTATTAACCTCCCTTGTGTGATTAGGGTCCACCCGCGTTGATCAGTTGCTGAGCAGTGATTATTGTGATTTTGCGTCAACAGCATTTACGTGATTTTTACTGCGTTGTTTTATGCTTTTACATCTTAATGGCAGCATTTTGATTTTCCCACCTTGCTTGATAGAGCCAGTCTGATAAGCGATATGTACCTACACGGGCCCTAAGTTTATCCTGAATTACTGGTGTATGCGGACCGCGTTTCACCCGAAACTCGTCGTTTCTTTTGACACGTGTTTTGTGTGACATATGTTTCTAATAGATTCATCCGTAATTGAGGTCTGCCCGCGTGGTCAGTTAATGAGTAGTGATCATTGTGATTTTGCGTCAACAGCATTTGCGTGATTTTTATCCCGTTGTTTTATTCTTTTATATATCTTAAATGGCAGCTATTTTTGATTTTCCCACCTTGTTTGATAGAACCAGACTGCCGATAAGCTATATGTACACGGGCCTTAAGTTTATCCTGAAGTTATCCATAAGTTCCTCTATGACCCTTTTCCATTGTAATGCTACCTCGCCCTTGGCGTGGGCCACATGCACGTGTCGTCAGTGATAACATCAAGGCCATGTTACTTGTCATTTAATTACGCTTATGGATCAATGGTGGAGGTGTAGATCAAATGGCCAGTGCGATTGTGACACCATTTGTTCATAATATACAGGGTTATCTCGTCTGTGTGCCATTGTCCAATGATGCAAGCCGTGTGACAGGGCGGTGTGGGTGATAGGTTTCTATCCGATGCTCTTGCTCGCTCCTTATGCTATACCTACATGCGCCATCGTTTATTTGTCAAATGCAACGTGAACTTTGTGACTATCGGATGCAATAAACTCTGCATAATCTTATTTCCTCGGTTCGGCCGTGCCGTTGGTCGATCGAACTATTTTCCACTGAAGAGTAATAAGCATTATTGCATTTCTGATCGGTGGCGATCTGCACTACAATGGCCAGGCGTTGTATTACTCAGGCTTATTAGGTGTAACGAATTGCTGTTTTAGGCCACTCAGTAGTTATAATCCACGCCTAGTTGCGTAGGGGACCCATACGCCGGAAAGGCGGGACCGGGAGCACTGGGGTTCGGACACTTCGGGCATGGGCATGGCCATGCTTTTACGACAGGGAAAGGACTGCGGGTTGGTTCGGGCCACCACTAGTAAGGTTATGGCAAAATGAATGCTTATAGGGGATTGCAACAGCAAATGTGGCCATTTTTTGTAGGCTGGCAGTAGAACGTGGAGCAACCAGGGTAGAACGCGTGAGCGGGATAGAGAGGGCTTAGTACCAAACCAAGCTCTGTGTAGTAGTCAGCAGTGAAACTGTGTATCTTAAAGGTGCGATTATATCTAATTTTCCTTCTTACCACTGAAATTAAAAACATGGTAGGATATGTAGAAAACGAGATTGCAGAGTGGGAATGTAAGGGAGGTCCCAGGAAATTGAAGTTAGTGTTACATATTTAAATCTATCACTAAGTTAACGATGCTAGTAATAAAAGTCCAATAACTTGATACAAAATAACATTTTTGTTGATTTGATGACGTAAATAACAGATAAAGGGAGCATTTGAGATTCTATAGGCGTTACCAACCATTATTGTTTTGCAGAATCCATCAAATATATTTTATCAAAGTAAGTATACGAGTTTTTTTTTTTTTTAAACTACGATAATTTGGGATACGAAACAGAATCTTTATTCGCTGAGAATTGGCGCGCACGCGTTTGTATACATTTTGCTTGCGGCTTGCATCTGCTGCTGAATTGGCCGTGTCGGCCGTGTCAGTGTGTGGTCAGTGTCAGCAAGATGCCTATAAAAAACGTCAGTGTTGGGAGAATCTGAATGGAAAAATAGGACTTGGATTAGGATAAATGCCAGGCCCAGAAGTGAAAATTATAATGGTTTTCCCGATTGACGTCTAAGAAAGGTTTGTATCCATGATTAAAGGGACCCTCCCACCTTCAAAAAAGTTCATGAATTGGCATGAAAGCGATGTCGCTCGGTTCAGAAAGAGCGAAAACGAATATCTACCAAATTTCATCGAAAAATATTCACCGGTTTTCAAGATATTAGACTTTTACTTTTTACTTTTTGTTATCTTGATCTTTGCTGTTCCTAGCGACTTTGTTTGAAAGTGCGGCTCTTGTTGCAAGCAAAGCGGCATGTACCACCGTGTGCTACCAAACGTTTTAGTAAAAGATAAAAAATTGTTAGATCTGTGCTGACATCACAAATTCTAAGGGGGCATTCCAATCCATTAGCCCCTTAGAACCAGACTGGAAAACATCCATACACTACTCTGTACGCCCGTGAGACCAGCCTGCTCCGAAATTCGGCGCAAGCGATTTTGCGCTGAAATTTCTGCATGATTTGCGCCAAAAATTAGGTGCCTATTTGTGCGAAAATGAAGCCCTTTTCATACAGGGTCTTTCATAATGAATGTTACTTCTTAAAGACCTATTCTCAGGACATATATATTCCTCATGTAATATGTACCATCACATGAAACAGGAACACTTTAGCGTTTTTGCACACACAACTTTCATTTTAATGCTCCTCGGGGATATTCCACTGTATCACCTTTTCTTAAGGCACACGTTTCGGCCCTCTGACGAAAGTGTCGCACCCCGCGCCTCACAACGTCTGGGTCCAGGCTTCCAGCAAACCTCTCCACTATGGTTCACAGTGGATGGTTGCAGGTGGGTTTTGTCTCGGATCTGCCAATGCGACTCCCCAAAACCAGTAGTACAGCGGGGAGATTTCATGGCCATAGTCGCTCGGTGAGGCGGCTGATAACGCGCTCTTCGAAATTTTCGATCAGCCACTGGCGCACAGCTGCCGTGGTGTGCACTGTGGCACCATCCTGCTGGAACCACAGGTCGTCTCTTCGGACCTTGTGCCTGAGGCCAGAAGCATTCCTTGAGCAGCCTAAAGGTAAACCACCCCATTCAGTGTTGACCCAGGGGAAAGCCAATGGATGAAGACTTGTACGTCGACCGTAATCCGTAATGCGTTTTGGTGGTGTCACTGTCGACATACTCTGCTTTTGCGTGAAGGAAAATTTGTGTTGTGTATTTTTATTTTTTGGGACAAAACCCTATTCAATTTGCCACAATACACAAATAAAATTTGTGCGCAGGTAATAAATTAAGAGCTCCTAATTAATTGTTCGAAATCAAAAGTAACATTCATTATGAAAGACCCTGTATAAAGCACATGTGCACATCTACTGATCAAGTTTTTATCAACTAGACTAGACTAGTGTTTCGGGGCTTTGTACGCTCTCCCATGTTTGAGCGTCCTAATGAGTTTTTATTTCCATATCAATTGTATTGACATTGTTCCATGTCAATTGTAAATTGTAAACCCAATACCTCGGCGGGAGCCAGCGAGGGCCGGGCAGCGGAGCAGCACGTGCTCCGGCACATCAGCCTCTTCTCGGCTCACGGTGCAGAGCGCCGCTCGGCACTGCTTGTATGGGCACTGCTGGCACGCGGCGGAGTGGAGACAGCCGATTCGGTGCTGTACTGGAGCGAGCGACCCCTGTGGCCCGCCCTCATCTGGTGCACCGAAATGGCATCCTCTCGGTCCTCTCCGGAAATAGGGAGCGGCGGCGTGCTCCCGAGGAGTGGCTTGAATAGTGATTCTGAGCAGTTGTCGCGCCACTGATGCGAGGCCGCACAATGAACCGCTCTGGTCAGCGATCGGGCGTTTGAGGGCAGGGCAGCCGCCAGTTTTGCCAGGTCGTCCGCGCTCTCATTCCCCTCGATGTACTGCAGTGGGCAGGAACCCACTGCTATTGCTTAACGACGCTTGGTGACGTTCAACAAGGTTTTCCATACCTATCTCACCGAAGGTTGAGGCCTCACCTGGGCGGCCCTTCCTCCGCTGAGTAGACTCAGGGCGGCTTGCCAGTTCGAGCACGCGACGACCGGGGCGGGGATGCCCATGCCATTTGAGGTCATTTGGAGTTGAATTTAGCTTAGGTCAGGCCACTTTCAGGTCAAAAAGGTCAACTTTTAAAGTTATTTTTCAACAAAAAAAGTGTCTATCGGATGCAGTTTAAGTTCAGGAACACGATGGTCCATACGTCTAGCGGTTTATAAATTATTGCAGAAAAACGAGAGGGGGCTATGAATGAATAGCTCCCCCCCCCCCCCCCAATGTTGGAAATAAGACCCTTTGCTGGTCCCCGTCGGGTTCAAAAGATTTTGTCCTCCTCTAGAAATTTATACTCAGGCACCTGATATCTTCTGAATTTCCCAGCCTTTGTGATGAAAAACTGCTATTATTACACTTAGAATATGCAGAAATAGCATCGAGAGGAACACAGTTAATCGGCTATTACATTTAGCAGGCCAAACATTTGATTTTCCTGTTGGCTGTTGTAAACGCTGGCTGGTTCTCCGGACCGATTTTATTATCCGGGACCAGGACCGAAAATGACAATTCCAACATTGTCCCCCCCCCCCCGTTGGGCGCGGTTTGATCTACGCCATAACATATGCCCGCTTGTGCGACGTCTGCCTTACCTTTACCGAATTTTGATGGCCACTTGGTCTTTATGTCTGTCTCAGCCAAGCTGCTTTATAAATTTTACTGGTCTGTATACGCCGTACGGTATTGAGTGCACGAAGTCCGACCAGTGGGTGCCTAGGCGATTCTTGAATTGGTTGAGTGTACTGGCGTCGACAACTTCTGATTGCAGGCTGTTCCAGTCGTTTATAATCCTTACGGAGAACGTAAAGCCGCGTGTGGTCTCTTGTGAGTCCGTCGCAATGCACGAGTTCCTCAACCGAAATCCATGTTCGTTGTCAGACAGGAGATGAGTATTGTCAAGTTGGAGAAGTCTGTCACGTATGACGAATTCAAGAACTTTGCTTGTCGCAGCGGTGAGGCTAACTGGGCGGTAATCGCTCGGATCATATTTGGCTCCCTTTGTGAAAAAGTGTCACCTTTAAGAATGATACAGATCCAAGGAGATTTAGGGTATGCCCTAAAACCCCAATAATCAAACAGCAAGGCTTCAACTTCCCGTGGCCTTACCACCACCTATGGCTTAGTAGATAAGGCGTCCATCATCTCCTAAATGGGTGGCAGCGAGTTCGCGGCCAGGGAGCTCCGCGTTTTTATTTTGTTGGGTTAGGCCCTTCGGTCTGACGAGACCATTTCAGCGCCAGAAGGATGATAGGAAGGTCTGGGCGAGCGGCCTGGTGAGTCGCCGGGGCTGAGCCCGTCCAGAGGAGAGGCCGACCAGCCCCCAAGCACTCACCGCACCCGTCTACGGGCGTTCTCTTACGGGAAATACCCATGGGATAAAGTTGCCCGTCCAGCCCTAAACAGGAGTTTAAGGTGTAGAGGAGAAGGAGCTGAATTTCCTGAGGATGGAAATGACGGAACGGTCGGCGAGAGAGGGCCATGCTGATGTTCTATATACAGGGTGGGGCAGCATAATCGGGAATAAATATCAAACGGGATTATTTGGTCATGAATCTAAAAATATAGCTCCAAGCACTATTTTAGCAACATCCTATCAATCGGTCACCTTTTACCTATCCCTCATCCTATTTGACCGCCCTCGGCGTCGATGACCTTCTCAAGGCGGGTCCAAAAGCACGCGCATGCACGTGCAACCTCCTGCTTGTCCATGATCGCCCATCAGCTTCGTACCTTGCACTGAAGACTGTTTTTACTGATGATAAGTTGTTCATTAAACTTCTACCAAAAAACGCTCCATGTAAAGAATTTGGTCGGATTTAAATCGGCGGAGTTGAAGGACCAGAAGTTTTTGGTTCATCTCAGGTGGAGGTGCCCTACACAATAACATGTCGTCCTCACTGCAGTACCAGCACGGACAGAGTCCTCGTAAGACGTGATTTGGACCGTCAGTGATCCTCTCTTCCGACGGCTCCACGTGAGTCTGCCAGAGTGCGGTTGTATTTACCAGAGGTGCTCATTTTATCCGGGCTCGATGAAGTAGGGTGCACCACGTGCACCTCCCTTGAAGACCACCCATAGGTCCATCACCCCAACAGGATGTTTACTTTGCATGACCGCTGGAATATTCTCGATACAATCCCCTATATGGCATGCCATTCTTTTTTATCGTATTCCAGTCGGTGATAAGATTTTTTGTCGCTGAAGTTTTGAACATTGTTTCTTTTTAATATGCTCAAGTGCTTCTTCCTTATATTCAAGTGAGTCATCTTGTATGTCCTCTGCTAAGAGTTATTTTACGACGATTACGTTAACCTGTTGTCCTAAGTATCCCCACACAATCCTTATCGTCCGTGATAACACGTTGACCTGCCCAGCAACCTTTACGTGGAATTGCAGGGTTTTAAACAAAATGTTCTTGTTTTACTTGTTTAACATTAGTGTCTATGGGCGCGCGCAAAGCACTTGGAGCACCGTCGAACTATTTTGCTGCTCTTTTCCAGGAAGTTGCATGCTCATGGATGTAGTCATGTCAGATGATGCACAACTTTTGGGCGTTTCATTGCCATAATATAATTTATAAAAATAATGCCATGCCTACTCATGATCAGAGCCCAAAAAGCATTCCCGATTATGCTGCCCCACCCTGTACTCTGGCCACGCTAGACCCGGGAGGACCGGGCCGCCATCTACCTGCTGCAAGTCATTCGCAACAAGTACTGGCTAGCGGGGCACCCTGGCCCACAGCCACCCATCCAACCATTTGGACAAAATTTCTTTAAAAAGACTTTGAAGATAAAAGGAACATAGGGCGGTGACGTAGCAAAACCCTCGCACTTTTTTGACAAATGCCATGCAATACCAGGGTTCTACAGGTGATTACAGTTTCTCCAGTGTTGTTTTATGTACATTCCATACTCGTCCAGTGATCGCTCCAGATGCAGTTTAATTTTCATTTGGTGTCTCAATTCTCTTTCAGGGAGTCCGGTTTAAACAAATATGGATTTGATGCCATCTGAGGTCGCGCGCCTAGTGCTAGGTAAGATGCTTCTTACTTTTTAAGTTGTCTTGTAGTTGTTACTTTCAGATGTTTTGAAAGACATTGATAGAAACTGCATATTTGTAAGGTAAGTTTGTAAGGTGATTACGAGATCTCTGGAAGCAGAAGTTGGGGAACTGTCTGGGAGTACATTGATTGAGTTCTCAGTGTCTCCTAAACATGTACCCGAGTCAGGTTTACTTGCCCTTATTCAGTCTCGACATAGGTGCATTGAAAACTCATGACTTTATGTTGTTTGACTGGTGTACTCATCAGGGTTGTGCTTGACTCATGAGTCGAGTCAGAAACTTGACTCAACTCTGACTCAAATGAGTCAGATTTGAGTCGAGTCGGATAAAATGTTGAGCTGTTGAGTTGAGTCAGAGTTGAGTCGGACAAAAATATTAAGGTGTTGAGTTGAGTCAGAGTTGAGTCAGTAAAATAACTTTTGACATTGAGTTGAGTCAAGAACATTTAGGAACATGAGTCAGCTGACTCAACTTTTTAGAAACAAAATATAGTATAAGTTTTTCATTCTCCCCCCGCTTAACAACTTAGGCCTGGCCCTGCTGCCATATTTTTTTACCCCCCCCCCCCCCGCTCAACAATTTTTTATCTGAGTCAATTTTGAGTCAACACATTTGACTCAACAAAAAATTTGAGTCAAGTTTGAGTCAACTCATATTTTCATTGAGCCGCTTGAGTCATGAGTCGAGTCAAGGGAAAAAATCAGCTCCTTGTTTGAGTCAGAGTTGAGTCAGGGCATTCCGAAGTTGAATGATGAGTCGAGTCGGCAAATTTTTTTGAGTCGAGCACAACCCTGGTACTCATACTGTGTGCGCTTTTAGAGTGGAAGATGACACCAGCTGGCTGCGATTGTGCTGTTGGGCAGGCTATCTGAAGGAGGCTGGCTGCGAGACTGCATGGCGGTCCTTTTTGAACGAGTCGGCCGACCTGGCGGAGGTGCGGAGCCTGCAGGCGCGCGGCCGAGCGGTGCCCTGCGGCGTGCAGGGCCTGTCACTGCTCCAGACACTGGAACAGTACTCAACAGCCCGTTCGCTCGGTATGTACCCGGATGACGCTCAGCCTTAACGAATCATTTCGTCCTTCATCATTAATATTTAATTTCACGATATTCTGAGGAGAAGAGACAGATGGCATTTCATTGAAATTTTAGCTGGTATTTCAGAAGAGGCAGTGCTGACTCTAGGTTATTCAGATGCCTATTTAGCATTGGCTGTGTTATCAGTCACACTGCGTTCGACGAAGTAGAATGCAGTTGGTGCGTTTTCTAGTAGTTTGTCCTTGCATTGTGGTCAAATTGTGCAAATGTCCCGTTGAAATGGATTTTTCACTTCAAATTCACATTTTGCTTCTCAGCCACATCACAGTGTTTTTTTCTTCTCGGACTTCAAAGGGTTTAGCTCGTAAAATATATCGCATTGCTTATCTAGTGCAGCGCTCACCAATGTGCATTGTATCCCCCAGTGCAAGATGCCCGTTTGGGGAGTGGTGGTCCATCGGATCCGTCGCCGCCGCCCACCTCCTTCCTGGAGAAGCTGCGACATCTCATCGTGCTCGCATCGCTGGAGCGGCTCAAGGCGGTTCCCCAGGTTCGTACCGGGCTACATTTCCTGTAATTATTCAACAGTTTGATGTTCACTGAACAAAAAATCATATTAATTATGTAAAAATATACCGTGTAATTGTTATTTGCGTCTACAAACTCATACCTCACACCTCATACGTGTTGTGAATCGTAAACCGTTATTTATCCTAGAAGTTGCACGCCTACTATAAGCTGCATGTCTACTATTTTGTTATTGACCGCTGAACTATACATTTTTTTATTTGTGTTAATTCTACTCACATTTGTTTAAATCAATTTCTACGGGACTTACATGTTTCACATTGTGCATTATGCTAATTAATATCTTGTGCTGCTCCTTCGTCTCCACCTGGCACAAAATGACCTTTGCTGTCGGCGCGCCCAAAGACCCCAATAAATAAACAAACAAACAAACAAACCCTTCGCCCGTACCCGCTTGTTTTCTTTGTCTGCAAAGTTGCTTTGAAATAGCTTGCCCAGTGCCCAGTGCGTCAACAGCTGAACCACCTACTCCAGCTCCCCTGGGCACGCACTGATACGGGTATCGCCAAGTGACGTCCGCCGACCTCGCTCCGTCCGCAGGAACCTCCACCGCCGAACCGCAAACGGACGATCAGCCTGCGCTCGACGCGGCGCCAGAAGCAGCAGGAGCGGCTGCAGGACATCTCCCACCTGGCGCCGGGACCGACGGCGCCCATCGGTGAGAGCCGCACTCACGGGAGGTGCAGGAGACGTACGAAAGGGGGAGCAGGGGACTGCCGAGCGGGGCAGAGACTGACGAGACGAGAGTGCACGGAGACAGACGGGGTCGGACGCGAGGACACTGCTTAGTTCAGGGGCCCTGGGTCGCCCACACAAATATTGGGGTCCCCTAGGCCAGGGGATCCCATTTGAGCGGACGACATGCGGGGTCGACATGCATACAAAAACATGCGGGGACGTAATAACACACGAGGAGACACGGGACGCAATTCAGTAATGTTTTGTAAGATTTAAATGGTACTGCCTTTTCATTGATGCTATGTCGCTTCCATTGTTGCGATCGTTTCATCCTCGTTGATATAATTTCATATTGATGTTGATACCACTTTCATAGTTATCATTTGCCTTGCATTGCACTTACTTAGCTACACATTCGACGCAGTGTCGACATGATTCGGCGCTTGTAGTTGTTGTGTCGGTGTCCGTTTTGGACTGGCCGGGTCCCCAGGCGTATGGCCGCGGCACTGCGGAGCTGACCGGGTCCGTCCGGTGTGCCGCCAGTGACGCCCGGCGGCCCGCTCATCTCGCTCGGGCCCGAGGAGATGATGATGGGTTTTCCGCGCGTGCGCGACGTGCACCAGCCAGCCGACGACGACCTGGGCGCGCACGACGAGGCGGCGGACGATGTACCGCCGCCGGAGTCGGGCCACCCGGAGCCGGAGCCGGAGCCGGGGTGCGGCGCCAGTCCCGACCGGCGCTGGCGGAGGAAGGGACAGCCGCGCCGGCCGCCGCCGCCTCCGCCACCGGCCGCCGCCAAAGGCAGAGCGTGAGTTGGCGATGGAGGGGAGAGCGAACGGCGGTCCAGGGCGGCTCTAATGTGCGCGCTGGTTTTTATGTACATAACGTCCATTGTTCATTGTTCACCGTGGCCGGTTTCAGTGTTGACGTCCCCCGCACGTTCCTCGGATATTCGAACTGCGTTAGAATATTTTAAAATATTCTGGTAAAATCTGACTGTTTAGGCACTACTTTTTTGACCAGCTGCATGAGGGGCGGAGGGTCGAGTGGGGGGGGGGGGCACTCTTTTAAGTCAGCAGAATCTGTTTCAAATTTCAGTATGTTCTTGCTTTACCATTCATTTCAGATATGCTTATCAATCTTCCTTGTTTTGGCAAATATGTCATTTATTGAAATACTACCATCGCTCCCAAAGCTCATCAGTATGTTGCTTGCCTTTTCAGATGTGACGATGTCGCTGTCGCTGAAGCAGATGCGCATTTGCAGGTCAGTTGTTCGTCATACAGAACACTGACAAGAGGCCTGTTCTTCCTTTTAGCCTAGTCAGTGATTAGTATGGTCAGATTGTTATCGCAATTCGTTATAAATCCTGATCAGAATAACAGTTTTTGGTAACAGCCAGGCCATACCATGTTGACGGCCTCTAATCGACCGCATCATAACACTTTTCTCGCATAGGAACTGCATGTAAAAGTATGCCAGTATCCTTCACCAAGAAGCTATGGTGTACGATCTTTTCTGTCCCTTCCTTGGCGTCAGAGTGTTGTGTGGCCGTTTCAGTCTTTTCTCGACGAAATGCTCTCCAACGAGGACCTGCAGACGCGGATAGCGGACAACATCAACCGCGCCGTGTCGTCGGCACAGAAGGAGCCCAATCTGGACGAGGCCATCAGGAAGATGGTCGACCAGACGACGGCCGACCCCTCCTTCTGCCAGGCACTCAGAGGTGAGCGGCACGCTTCTGTTCTGGCTCTGCAGTTGTGAATATCAATCAGGTCATGGTTCTTAGTTGGCGTACTCGTGCTTAATATGTTCCTAGTATTGATCAGGTGTATCGGTGACGGGCGCTGCCCCTGGCGGTAGCTCGTTGCAGCTGTTGTTATTCTGTGTCGCGCCGCGCCCGCTGACCGCGCTCTGTCCTGTCGCCAGGGTCCGGCGATGGAGCGGCGCTGCCTGCCGAGGAGGCGCCGACCTGCCCGCCACCGCGGCGCGTTCACTTTGCTGACGACCTGTCCGGTCCGTCTGCCTCCGGCGACGCGCCGTCGATCGTGTTCGACACGGGTCTGACGGCGAACGTGGCCCAGGTGAGCGACACGGAGGTGCACCTGCTCGGCGTCAAGGTCAGCTCGCCCACCTCGCAGCGGTCGGTGCCGGGCGTGCCGCGTCTCGGACCGGGTGTCGTGCTGCCGGCGAATGTGGCCGACGGCCTGAGCTGGTGCACAAAGCCGCCGGCCGCCGCCCCGCGCCCGTGGCGTTTCTCTCCGCCGTCGGAGCCGGCGCCGCCGCCAGTGCAGAAGCCACCGCCGGAGCGAGCGTCGGAGCCGGCACCGGAGGAGCCCTCCACTGAGTCGGAGCCGGTGTCGGTGTCGTTGTCTGGGGAGGAGCCGGACACGGAGCCGGACCTCGACTTGATGTCGGATTCGGGCTCGGAGTCTGGGGCGGAGAAGGCAGAGAAGGTGGCAGAGCCCGCGAAACCGGTGACCGGGCGGCCGAAGCGTTCTGCGAAAGGAGCTGGTGGTCCGGCAAAGGGCGAAGGAGCTGGCGATCGAGCAAAGGCTGACGCCAGCGCCCCAGCTAAGGACGGCGGCGCTGATGATCCATCGAAGAGCGGCGGCGCGGCTGACTCAGCAAAGGGTGGTGGCGCTGGCGATTCGGCGAAGGGCGCTGCCGCCGACTCGGCGCCGCGCTCCAGCTTGCTGGTGCAGCAGCAGGGCAGCACGTGTCCGCCGCCGTCCACGCGGCCCACCTTTGGGTTCATGGTGGGCGAGGTGGGCGGCGTGCCGCTGCATGCCTACACCATGTTCGGCAAGCCGATGAGCAGGTCGCACTACGCCGCCATGCGGAAAGAATCGGTCAAGCGCTCCGATGAGCAGAAGCGTCTTGCCGAAGAGTTGAAAAAGGCGGAAGAGTTGAAAAAGGCGGAAGGTGAGTCTCAAATATGGAATATCCCTTGTCATGTTTCACAAATGTGTCGCGTTTTCGTCAAACGCCGGCGGCTGAGACGTTTTAAGTACTCATCGTAGCTTTTTTGTTGTCGTTGCTGAAAGATAACATGCTCCTAAGTCTCAAAATATGCGCGAATATTTGACTTTAACTCTCGCCTCTCAGCATAATTGCTTAGTTAAGTGAATAAATCTGAGCATTTTGCATTAAACACGCCGCTTTGTTTTTACCCCACAGAATCAAAAGGAGCGAGCGGTGGTGATTCGGAGGATGGTGGACCGGCGTCAGACAAGAGTCCCACCACTGCGCCAGCTGGCTCGCCAGCAGCTAACAAGAGCCCAGCCGAGGCACCGGCCAAGTCGCCAGCTTCTAGCAAAAGCCCCACCGCAAGCAAAAGCCCCACTGCGAGCAAAAGCCCCACCGCGAGCAAAAGCCCCACTGCGAGCAAAAGCCCCACTGCGAGCAAAAGTCCTACCGCTGCGTCATCCGCGTCGCCCGCGTCGAGCAAGAGTCCCGCCGCTGCCCCGGCCACGCCGCCAGCGTCGGCTGGCCATATGCCCAGCATGCCGCTGACGGGCACTCCGTCGCCGGCGCCCAGCGAGCCTGTGCTGCCCGACCTGACTCCGAGCCCAATGCCGAGCGAGCCGGCGCCAGCGGACACCCCCTCGCCGCCGTCCTCCCCGGGCCCGGCGAACGACGACGCGCCGTCTCCCGGCCAGTCGCCAGACGCCGCTTCTCCTCCCACTGCGGGAGCGCCTGCTCTGCCGGCCACCGAGTCTCCGCCGGCGGCGGCTGATGACGCGGCTCCCAGCGGGACGGCGGCGGCGGCGCCTCCCTCCGATCCGGCGCCCGGCTCGCCGTCTCCGGGACCGTCCCAGCAGCGCCCGGTCATCAGTCCGCGGCTCGCCAGCCTGCTCAAGATCGTGGCCTCCTCGTCGGCGGAGCGTGCCTCGGTGGCGGCCCCCTCGACGCAGCCGCGCGGCCGGCCGAGCCCGACGCGCGCCGGCCGCCGGCAGAGCGCCAGCACGCCGCGCCGGCGCAGCCATGTGCGCGCGCTCGACTTCAGCACACCGCCGCGGCAGCAGCGACTTGACCTGCGTCACCTGAAGGCCATCCGTCGCCGGCTGAAGGGATCGCCAGACCTGCCCACCTTGGCAGAGACCTCTGGCAGCGCGACGCCGCCTGCCGCTCCGACACCGGCACCGGCGGAGTCAGAGTCAGCGCCCGCTCCCCCGCCACCGAGCCCGCGGCGCCGCAGCGGCGGACCGCGCCGCCTGGCGCCCACTCGACTCTCAGACCGCGTGAGCTCAGCGTCGGCCTTCGAGCTGGAGCTGGTCACACCGGACAAGGCGGGCGGCGGTGTGCGCGTGGAAGACTGGCCCCCGATACAGACACCGACCGTGCGCCGGCGGCCCTCTGAGAGCTCGCCGAGCGGACAGCCGCGGCCCGCGGCGGGCGCACCAGCGCCGTCGGCCGCTGAAGGGTCCCCCGCCTCTCCCCGCACGGCGTCACCGGGCACGCCGCGCACCCCACGCACTCCGCGCACGCCGCCCTCGCTCGGCCAGCCGCGGCCGGTGGGGCCGACGCGGCGCCAGCTCGGTGAGGAGATTGAGCGGCAGCTGGAGGCGCGCTTCCCGGCCATTTCGCCGGCCAGAGCAGGCCCCGAGCCACCGCCGACCGCCTCAGCGGCGCCGCCGCCCGCGCCAGACGAGCTGGAGCCGACCGCGCCAGACGAGCTGGAGCCGACCGCGCCAGAGTCGCCCGAAGCACCGCCGAGCGAACCGGCGCCGGCCTCTCCCCCGATCTTCGCTCGTTCCCCGCCCTCCGCAGGCAAGGCTGCGGCAGCGGCGTCTGTTCTTGCCAAAAAGAAACGCTGGATACCCTCCATCGCGGCCTCATCGCCTGCGGAGCGTCGGATAACGCGAGCTGCCGTGCGACGCATGGAGCGCCAGAAAGCCTTGAAGAGGGCAGAAGCCATAAAGAACGCCGGGAAAAGCCCCAAGCGAACTGCGGCACCTACAAAAAATACGCAACAGTCTAAAAGTCCAGTAAAAACGGAAGAAAATATCGATAAGGCTTGTGAAGATCCGGCTGATGCGAAATCTGCATCACCAGCTAAACCAGCCTCGCCAGCAAAATCCTCATCACCAACGGAACCGCCATCACGTGAAAAACCATCTTCACCGATTAAACCATCGTCACCAGTGAAGCCAGCACCTTCGGGATCCGCGCCGTCCACCCAGGCACCTGAACTAGCAACGCCGACAACGACAAGTAGCACTAGTGTCAAGCAAGTCCCGCACTTGCTGTTAATGCATCATGGAGGGGGCGACCCCAAGGCGCCTGGATCCGCGCCTCGAATGTTCTGGGTTCCTGTGGTCACTATCTCTGGCTCCTCTGTCAGCTCCGCCGCCGTGACGGCTACATCGGGGGCTGCTGCTGCAGCTTGCTTGCCTACTGCGCCCCCCTCGACGGCCGCCACCACCATGGTCGCCGCGCCGGCGGGGGCTGCCACTGTCACAGGCGTCTGCGGATCTGCCGGCGGACGGTGGGCCTCTCCAGCCGTTTTACAAAGATCAGTGTCCGATGTCTCTAGCCAGCAGGTTCTGCCTGCGGCTTTACAGCGCGCCGCGAACGGACGGAAGTCTCCCCGGAAGAGCCCGCCGCGAAAGCGTGTCGCCCGCGAGGGGGACGTTGCGGTCACCCAGACGCCGATCCTGCAGCACACCGCCGGGACCCCGGACCAGAAGTCAGCGACGCTCCTAGGTTCGGCGCCTTCTGCGGCTCCGTCACAACCGGGCACAGTTGCTCCTCCGTTGGATCCGAGCGGTGCCCAGGGACTGGCGGGTCAGAACCTATCCCGTAGCTCGCTCAGCGGTAGCGCAGCGTCGGACAGTTCTAGCAGCTCCTCTTCGGACGGCTCTGACTCGTCTAACTCGAGCTCGTCTTCGTCATCGTCATCGTCGTCCGGCTCCTCGAGTTCGTCGGAGGATTCCTCGGACTCGCCGGACGACACATATGTCCCTCCCCTGCGTGCGAACAGCTACCCGGGCGCGGAGGGCGGCCAGCCAACCGAGGTGTCGCGCTCGCCAAAGAAGCGATCACCAGCGAAGAGGCTAGCATCAGCCGCTAGACGGTCACCGCTAAAGGGTGAAAAGCCGGCAAAGAAAAAGTCACCGGCCAAGTCTCGAACCCCCGCAAAGCAGCAGTCTCTTGTGAAGCAGACAAAATTAGCGAGGCGAAGGACGCCTGTGAAGCGTCAGCCACCGGCGAAAAAGGGGTCACCTGCGGCGAAGCCTGACTCTAAGCGACGCCGAGAAACTCGGCCACTGCCCTCTAGCTCAGACGAATCTGAGGATGAAGTAGAGGACACCCTGGAGTCGGTGGCTAGGGAGATGGGTTTGAGCTGGGGACTGGAGAGCGTCCCTTACGAGTCTTCGACTGATGAGGACCCAATCGAGGAGCGGCCCATCATACCTGCCGATTCGCCGGCGGTGACGGTCAGTTCTGCCGTCAGCGTGGTCACCACTGCACCCTCGGTCAGTGCCGCCCCAGCGGACGGGACGGCGGTGTCTGTGACCGCCCCCTCCGCAGTCCCTGCGGACTGTGAAGTCGGCGTCACAGAGACACTGGTGGACAGTGACGGCGAGGTGGTGGTGGACGTGCACGTGGACCCGTCGGTGTCGTCGGGCAGTGACGCGCCCGCCGCCGAGCCGACTGCTGCCGCGGACAGCGGCGGCGACTCCGACTCTGAGCTGGACGTCGGCACCGAGCCCGTCGTCGACACGACCATGGTCGCCGTGCGTCCCGACAGTAGTAGCAGTGGGAGCTCCTTGGACGAGACGGTGGTCGTCGACTCGCCCAACCCGCCTGCGTCCGTCTCCAACCCCGGCGTCGACCCAGCGGAGCCGGCCCGCCCGACGCAGGCCGAGATACTCCGCAAGGCCGGCCTGCCGCCCGCCAGTGAGGACAGCAGCGACGCGGGCGCCGTGTCGGCGGCCGTCGCCGCTGCCGCCTCGCCGCTGGCCTCCAGCGTCACGACCGCCTCGCCGGGTCTGGGTCGTCTGGTGATCGAGACGGACGACACGGACGGAGCAGCCACTCCGCTGGATGGCGGGCGGTCCGAGCGGGCGGCGTGCTCGCCGGAGGCGGCGCCGGAGGCGGCTGGGCCCGACCACCTGGAGATGCTGCCGGAGGACTCTCTGATGGCCGCGCTGCGGGATGTCCACGGTCAGGACGAGCCGGACACACAGCCGACAGGTGGGTCAATGCTGGAGGCGAGCGAGTCCTGCATGTTCCGATTGTGTAATGGTGCTGTTTCATCTAGTCGTTAGGTGGGCTTTAGATGCGGGCGGTTGGTACTCTTTGATTCTTTTTAGGGACAAAGTCATACATTTTGCCTTGGTAGCTAACCTTGAAAGTTAAGAAACTTGTGACCTTGAATGAGAGATATCTTTGCTAGAATTGCTAGATTACTCGATCTTATATAATCCGCCAAATTTTAAGCAGTTCGTACCGCCTATTCTGCTATGCGTTAAAGGGCATTAACGGTCACCTCTCCCCCACAGACTTTTCTCGGGCAGGCCTTGGTCGGGGTCAACCCAAGCGAAGCATGGCCGGTGCTCGAGACAGGAAGTCGTCAGTCTCCGCCGCTGCAGAAATAGATGATTCGCCGGTGCTGGGAAGGAGCGGCAAAACCAGACCGCAGAGTCCTGGTCGACGGGGACAATTGGACCGAAATCGGTCAGACTCGGGCCGTGCCAGCTCAAAGTCGGACCGTGATGCCGCAAAACTAGGCCGAGATGCCTCAAAATCAAGCCGTGATGACCCTAAGTCTGGTCGTGATGGGTCTAAGTCGGGCCGCGCTGCTTCAAAGTCGGATTGTCCCGCTTCAGAGTCGGACCGTGGTCGGTCAAAATCGAACCGTGATAAATCAGCTTCTGATCGCGCCGGCTCAAAGTCGGACCGTCCTGACTCAGAATCGGACCGTGATCGGTCGAAATCGGACCGTGATCGCTCGAAATCGGACCGTGACCAGTCGAAGTCGGATCGTGCTGCTTCAAAGTCTGACCGTCCTGGCTCAGAATCGGACCGTGATCGGTCGAAAGCGGACCGTGATCAGTCGAAGTCAGACCGTGCTGTCTCAAAGTCTGACCGTCCTGGCTCAGAATCGGACCGTGATCGGTCGAAATCGGACCGTGGTCAGTCGAAGTCGGACCGTGGTGGCTCAAAGTCGGACCGTGATCGCTCGAAATCAGACCGTGATCAAACGAAGTCAGACCGTGATGGTGCAAGGTCGGGCAGTGATGGAAAACCTAAGTCTGTGGCGAGTAGCGTGATGTCCGATGCAGATAGAAAACGGAAAGCGCCGCTCCGCACCGAAGACCGTGAGAAAGGTAGTGACAGAAAACCCAGTGGGAACAGGAGCCGTGACAGTGATGTGAAGAGTGAAAGTAAAGAAGAAGGAAGAAAGAAGCCAGGCAGTAGACTAGATGACGACCAAAAAGGGAAGATAGATGTCGGTAGTACAGGGAAGAACAACCACGGAAATGATGGCGAAGCCGGCCGAAGCAGACCTAATGGGCGGGCTGGTGACCGAACCACTATCTCCAGAAGTGACCAGGGCAGAGCTAGTGGCGGTGACATGGCGAACGGCAGAGAAACGGAGAAGGTTGACCCCGACCACCAGCGACGGCCTGACCCGCCGGCCAGCCAGACGGGGTCTATCCCTCAGGCTGGTGCCGCCCGACCGCCAGCAGCTGAGGTTCCGGCGACCCAGACGGCCGCTCCCTCCGCTGGGCGCCCCTCGGTCCGCACCCAGCCGCCTCCCGCGGCGGCTGCGGAGCCGGAGGAGTCGGAGGAAGACACCGAGGAGGAGGACGACCCGATGAGCCGGCTGACCATCTCGCCGTACTATGTGCTAGTGGACCTGCCTCCGCCGGGCGGCTGGGGCGATGACGTGGACGCCGGCGAGTTCCTGGCCCAGCTGGAGCGGCGCCGATCGGCCGGCCGGCGCTCCGCTGACGGCGAGAGGCAGCAGCCGCTCTCCTTCAAAGGAGTGCTGCAAAAGACGGCTGTCAGGTAAGTAGAGCTGCCTGATTTACTGCCTGACGTCCAAATTTATAGTGGCAGCTTCGTACCGTACCTTAGTATCAGTTTTTGGCCTTCTAGCAGCTTAAAAGTTCGTATGTTGAGCTTCAATTCTGTCCATTTTATGTAACTTAACAAAGTAACTGTATATGCAGTATGCTATAGTGGCAAACTTCATTGCACATCTTTTCGGTAAAACACTAAATTGCTTTGCATCGACAAGTTATATGTGTCAGCGGAACCTTTATGGAGAGAGGTGTGTGCTGCGAACATTTGCCGATCTACAAGTGTGCGTATGTGATACTGTCCCCACCTCTAGTATTTGCTTTGACCCATTCGTTCCGTGTCTTCTATCTGTTTCCACAGTACGTCTTCAGACCTGATGGACAACGCCCTGGGTGTGGGCAACCCCAGTCCAGCGAGAGTCCGCGGCGGGCCGCCCCCGGCCGCTCCTGTCCCTGGCGACAAGAGTCTGGCGTCAGTCAAACGCAGTCTCAGCACGCAGCTGGACGGGCCGCCACCCTCAGCCGCGGCGCCGGCCGGCGCGCCGCCGACATCCTCCTCCGCAGGGGTGTCGACAGTGCACCGCTGGGTGCGCCGCGACTCTGGCGGCGCCGGCGACGGCCCCGACCGCAGGAAAAGCTTTGAACTGGACCGGCCCAGGACGCAGTCGACCGGGGAGGGACGTACGGAGGGTGACGGCAGCGGCGAGAGACCAGCGCCGTCCAGAAGCGATGGGAGGAGAGACGACAGTCGCACCGACAAGGCGCCGGGCCAGGCCAGCAAAAGTCGCCGCCCCGTACCGACAGAAGATGTGGGAAATCACCAGACAGCGCTGGTGGAGGGATGGAGTAAGCAGAAGCAGAACCCCGACCGTACTCGGGAGTCCTCGGCTGAGGAAGGGGAGCTGGACAGCGGCCGTGGGGGACCGCCTTCTTCCGCCAGAGAGCAGGGGAGACGTGATTCGGGCGGCGACAGGCCCGGACGGCGACACAGTGGCGGGGGCCGCCGGAACAGCAGGAGCGACACGTCGCCCGAGCGGTCGGGAAGACCCGCTGACGGACCTGGTAGGCCGCGCCGGCCGCCGGGTGACGGCGCGCGGCGTGGAGACTGGGCTGGCGGTGACGCTCCCCACGTCAGAGCTACTGACCGGAGGCGGCGACACAGCAGTGGCAGCGGCAGTCAGGGTCACAGGAGCGTGGACAGTGGCAGTGAGCTGAGCGATAACAGGGCCGGGAGGTACCGCCGGGACGGAGCGCGGACAATGGACGCTCACCGAAGGGGACGGGACTGGGAGGAGGCCGACAGGCGGCGAGGTCCACCCGCCAGTGCCGACAGGGGAGGCTCGAGTGTGTTCTCTCGGTTGGGTAACAAGAGGCAGGGCGGCAGGGATTTCGAGCGGACCAACGGCCGGGGTGAGTTTGACGAGCGTTCCACCCGCGGGCCGGCTGATCACAGGGCGGCGAACGGCGCCGGTCGGAGTGAGGCAAAGCGTCGAAAGGACCGGGCTGCACAGGGCGGCGGTGACTCTGGTGACGCCTTCAGAGACGACCGGTGGCACTGGAGCAGAAACCCGCGTGATCAGAGGACGGGTGGCACTCCTGACGACGGCGAGCCGGACCGCGGCGGGCGTAAGGGTCAGCGCTCGGACGAAGATCGGGAGAGACCGAGGAAGGTCAGCCGTGCTGACGAGTCGGCCGTGCCGTCTCACAGCCGGAGGGAGAAGGGTGCCAAGGAGAACCGTGAGAAGAGCGGAGGGCAGCGCGGGGAGCCGGACGAGGGCAGTCGCGCCGGCCGTCCTCGACAGGATGCGCCAGAGGGAGGCGCCAGGGACTCGGCGGCGTCTCGGGGGAAGAGGGTTCGCCACGACTCCGGATCTTCGGACCAGGTGAGCCCGACGCCGCGTTGGCCGTAAAGGTCACTAGATAGTGTGTAGCAGCCACGGATGTTATGGCGTGTGTGTGGGGGGGGGGGGGAGGAGGATTACCTGAATATGTGGCCATCGAATGATGAGATCGTTATTGGTCTGGCCGATTTTGCACTTGTGTCTGACGAATTATTCACAGCACTCCAGAACCGAATCGGTAATGTGTTAGTTTTGTTTTCAGTCTCCTTTGAATTCACTTGGCCTATTTGGTGTGTCGTCTTTGCTGTTCATAACCTGTTGCATTTTTTCAGGAGTCCAATGATTCCAAGCGCAAGCGCGCTTCGTCCGGAATTGATGCCAGGAAACTGCTGGGAAACTGCAACATCGCATCATTCCTGGATAAGATACATCAGTAGAGTGTCATTTTACTGGCCGGGCAGAGGCCACTTTCTGTTAGAATTCCGGAGTAGCTTTCTTCGAGAAGGACCAATGCACCCAGTGTTCACTCACATCCAGTGGTTTTAACCGTGCGCAGTCAAATAGTGTGGGGCATATCAGTGTGCGATTGTAAACATAGAAACAGTGTCCTGGGCATAGCTGTCGCCTCGTACAAACGTGTAGTGTTATCGTTGAAATGAAGTGTACAGCGTCATCCTGTTTTATATATCATCGCTCTCAGCTCATTGCTTCCTCGTCGGGGCGATCACGCGGTTATGTCCCGTCTTCAGTGCCTTCTCGACTTCGACGATGCTACATGTACCGACTACTTAGTGAGCTAGTACCACTGTCTCCAATTGTATGTTCGTCTGCCGTCAGTCATGAGTGCGATGAGTGTGTTGCCACCAGATCTCGCTTGTCTAATACAAGTTTATGCATCTCTTTATGTGGCTTTCCGGTCGACCAGGCCTGCTACGTGCCATGCAGAAGTGTTGGTGTATCGATCTTGGGATTAATGCACCTCATGGCTCGTAATGACACGAGAAAAATATCGGCAGGATAGACCCATCCGTTGGAGACACGAGACAACGTCGGGAGGCGTTAGGCGCCATGATGTGCCGGTGCGGCCACTAATCCCGGGGACAGGAGACTGGCACGAAGCAGCGCAAGCGGGTCACTCCACTGTACGGGGGCATGAAACGGTTGGAAGGACCGTAATGTGCGCATTCTGAGGATGGCCATGGAAAGAGATCGGACCATCAGGTTATCCGAGTCAGATATAAAAGTCACTTGGATGGTGCATGTAATGGGCATTTATTTAGGCGCTTTTATTGACGTTGTTTAGGGGCGAAGAGCGGACGGAGTAGATGAAGTCCTTGGAAACTGGTAGATATTTATAAGTAGCTAGCCGAGCGTTTACTAATGTAGTCAGCTGATCGGTAGTATCTAGCTGAAGCGGTGTCGATTCTACCGTGAACGGTACGACCTGCGGCGTTAATGGCGCAGACGTCGCCTTTGTCGCATAATGCATTTTTCTTGCGGTCTTTGCACACTTGGATGGTGACGTTGCGGTTGCTGGGTGAAGTGCGGGGTGGAATAATTAATTGTTTTTCCCCCAAATGACACTGAGAGACTCTACAGCTGATCACCTTGAAGTCTAGTGGAAATTAGCGAGAAGTTTCAACTTTTTTACTGCTTGCTTTATACATGTAAGCGGCTGGATAATTTCAAGAATTTCTGAGCGCAAGTCACCAAACAACTAAGGTGAGTGGGTAGGTACTTTTTAGTGGGGATATTGCAGTTTTATTTTATTTTATTTTGCTAGTTTGAAGAGCTAACAAAAAAATAAGGCTGCTCTGGCCTCAAGGGTTCACTGGCATCTCGGCATGTGATGACATGAATCGGAATGTGTGCACTGTGCAGTGTATTTGTGTGGTTGTTGGGTGTGCTGTGCAATGGGCTGCAATTATGTGTTAAATGTTTTGTGCTGTTCTTTGTTTTGTTTGACTTAATCCAAACCCATCCAATTGTAATGGCTAGGTATGATGGAATAAGAAAGTTTGGCAGATGTCAGAAAGTTAAAAATAAGTTCTTTGTTTTAATATTTTATGCATAATATTAAGTTTTTAAGGAAGTTGCTATACCATACCTTGACTTGCTGTTTTGATAAATAAGTAAAATGCAAATTATATTTGAATTTTTATTACATTTGAAAATTGACATTGAAAGTTACTGCCTTTCCAGTCCCCACCAGTCCCACGTAAAAATCCTGAACATGGTTTGTCCCAATGATGTGCCTATAAATTACAAGTAGACCTTCAGGTGCTGCTTGGACCTTCTTGACTGAATGGATAAAAAGTGGGCTGAGTCAGATTTCTAATCAATAGCAGAATGTTAAGTTACTACTTGGCTTCTATGTAATTCTAAGATGTGCTGAGTGTAGTGTGAATTTTGGAACAGTGTTTGTCACTTAATTGCTGTCCTGTTAAAAAGACATTTTGGTAATTGTATTGGGCTAAAGATGGTTGTGCACAATGTGTAAGAAAGGTATAATGTTCTTTGTTCACAAAATAATGACTGGCTAATTCTTTTGCTTCATGAATCATATCCTTTTTTAATTTTACTAGATTAGGATTTCTTCTGATCAACTTTATAGTGTTGGTTGCAGGGATGCGGAGCCGGAGCCGGAGTCGGAGCCGGAGCCGCCGGAGCCGGCATATTTTGCCCGGAGCCGGAGCCGGAGCCGGAGCCGTGAAACAATATAGCCCGGAGCCGGAGCCGGAGCCGGAGCCGCCAAAAAAGGGGGCGACTCCGGCTCCTTTTTATTTTTTGAAGAGGAAAAAAAATAATTGACCTAGTTCGGTTTGACAGTACAAGGCAGTAAAACATATGGTACTTACGTCATGGGCCATCAAGTGAATGAAAAAATCCGAATATCCCCAGTATCCCACAGTACGCAAACAACTTCCTGTTTGCTCTTCCCCCCCCCCCCCACGTCTACTGCATCCCCAGAACATGAGGACCAGTCATCAGGTGACGGCCATTGTTTTCAAACCAGTGCAGTGGACTGCGACTCCCAGCACCGTCTCATCCCACACCCCCCCCACCCCTCCCCCCCCCCCAATGCAGCCGAGACGGGTGTCAGCTTACGATGGTTCACTGAACTCCGATTCGCGGCGACTGCGTTTCCAATGCCATCGCTTCCTAGCCCTTTGTTCTGCCAGTTCTCTCCGAGGTGCGTTTGCGCGGGGACGCGGTGAGCCGGTCATGGCAAAGAGTAACGCGTATAACCAATCCAATTTTTCTTCCACCCGTATTTAATTGATTGCGTAGGGGATTTACTGAGTCGGAGCCGGAGCCGCCGGAGCCGGAGCCGCCGGAGCCGGACCATTTTACTCGGAGCCGGAGCCGGAGCCGGAGCCGCCATAACATTTCACCCGGAGCCGGAGCCGGAGCCGGAGCCGATTTTTTTCTCCGGAGCCGGAGCCGGAGCCGGAGCCGTCTGAAATTTCCACGGCTCCGCATCCCTGGTTGGTTGCATTTGTGTATCATATGGTGCATTGGAGTTTGTGTAGCTTAAAATGTTGCTACAAAGGTGGCCCTGATGAAAGATTTTTGATAGAATTCCTGCTCACTCACCACTATAGATCACAATAAACTCCCCTTGCCCCTTTATGGAGATATTTATTTCTCATGATTCAATTAAGCATTTAGTGTTTGTATAACTTTTAGGTCGCAGCTCTGGTTTGTTTTCTATCTCTTAACAACTTTCAAATGAATTCTTTCTATTTGCAATGCTAGACAGTGTACAGTGTGCATCTTAGTTTGACATCAGATACTCATTCAAAGCAACTAGATCATTGAAGTCCAAGCTGAGATTTTATGGTATATGTAAATAGATCAATAACCCCTCTACTAACATGTTTTTAAGTATTTTTAGATGTGACACTGCATTTTTTATTTTTGTTCTGATAGCTATGTAATTGCCTTGCCAATCCATCCTATTCTTATACATGAAATCAATCCTGAATCACATGTGCATGCATAAGGGGGCAGGGGCTCTCTATTCATTGTTTCTATTCCACTTCTTGTGACATGCTTGGCTGCTCAGCTTATATATTGTGCATGTATTTTGAAGGAAAATGTGACATGTGTAATTGAATGTTCACCTACTCTACATCTGATTGTGTTTCAGACTACTGAAAATGTCCTCTTAACATTTAGTTATGTAGGTATGACAAGACTCATATCAAACAGGTAGCTAGGTAGTAGGTACACACCTTGGGTGGAGGTCATATTTGTATACAGTTGTGTTAGAAGAGTGACACATGATATTTGCTCAGTTCTGTAACTGCAGGACTTGTTAAGGATCAGTAAGCCCAATGCTAGAAACTAAATGCTCGGAATTATATCCGATGTCAGTTCGGCTCGGGTCGCCGCCGCCCCGCCCTGCCCCACCCCGCTCCGAGCTAGCCGAGTCGAAAGTCGTGTCATTGATCAGTGTGATGCAGTCCAATCCCTCCCCTGCCTACTCCCTCCCCTCCCGAGACACCCTCACCCCCACCCCTCCCCACTCAGGCGTGACTCACAGTCGCTCCATAAACGCTCCACTGCCCGGCGGACCGGGCGGCAGCCGCTCACAATTTGCACACTTATGAGTGGACGTTGAGTTTTCTGACACAGATAATGCAAAACTATGTGCACATGTGATGGCCAAAGCTCCTCTGGAAGGGAATGGGCGGTTTGCTACCGTTGGTGGGCAAATTGTGAGCTTTGTTCGGGCCTGATTGCCACTATCGCCGTTGTACGGTGAATATACATGAGCTGTAGTGGTTGGTTCTTTCTGTTATCCAGAAGTTACGGTATGGTTGTATGAAGCGGAAGCTGATGATTTTCATGTAAACAGAGAAGATTATATGCGGTGTCATGTTGTTAGACTCATTGCATGCCGTCTCCACGTGTGCCGTGATCTGCCATTCCATGTACCTCACTTTCGACATCCGATAACCTCCGGCCGGCGCTCAGTGACCTCACGACTGCCACTTAGCGACCCGTGTCCCACTGACCGCTCCCGTCCGCTCACCCCTCCAGGCGAGGGACCGTGACCCCGCTGACCGCTCCCTCTCCCCCCCCCCGTCCCCTTCAGGTGATGTCCGCGGCGCAGGGACAGACGATCGCCGACCGGCTCAATGCTGCCCGACACAGCCTCGCCGGCCAGGGGCTGGCCAAGGCCGTCTGCAAGGCTACCACAGAGGAGCTGCTCGGACCCAAAAAGAAACACCTCGACTGTGAGTAGACCCGGGGTCGGCGCTGCAGTCCGCCGGCCGAGCTGCCGTGAAGAAGCGCCGCCGTCCGGAGGCTAATCATTCATACGCCGGTCGACGGCCTGCTTCCGGCCGAGTGGGATTAGTTTAACATCATAGCACCAGTCTGCAGAGAAGTTTATGAGAGATTTACTCGTTTTGTTAATCGTTTAGCTGATGCATTTGATGCTATTTTCGGAGATGAGTTAAGCGCATGGCCATTACTTTTATGATCATCTTGTTTGATGCCGCTGGCTTTGTGCTGAATGGGCTGAACTCCCCAGCATTGGTAGTCTGTAACCGCGGGCTGGTGGTAATTCAGTGCAGCCGGCTGCCTAACCAGTTTGAATCTCACCCACCTCGGGGACCGATTGGCGACCACTCTTCCCCAGTCCAGTGACGCGTTCCCCCTGTGTTTCAGATCTCCTGCACTGCACCAACGAGCCGAACGTCTCCATACCGCAGATGGCCAACCTGCTGATCGAGCGCACGCAAAACTCCTCCTGGGTGGTGGTGTTCAAGTCGCTCATCACCGTTCACCACCTCATGTGCTACGGAAACGAGGTGGGTACGACGCCGGCCGGCCGAGCTGCTAGCCAAGCTGCTAGCCGTGCAGGTGTTCGCTGAACACTGCTTTGTTTCGGTCCGTGACGGAAATGGTTGCGTTGTGCTGTTTTATGTCAGGCTTTGGGGTGTTAAAAGAGGATTGAATCGTTGCTTATGAGTTATGTTTGTTGTCATGGGTGTGCGGATTAGCCCGTCCTTTATTCGATCTTTGTGTCGGTCTCATGCAATTATTATTTCAATGCCGAAGTAGTAGCTCGTGTTATCTTATCAGTTCGTTGTTACAAGATAAGCTGTCAATATCCTGGCGCAAATGCCGATTAGTTCGGGAAATGAGCCGGATGATAGTGGATTACTGTAACAGCTCTCAGACACGTGGTGGTAGCCGGGTGCCCCTCTCGCTCCGACACCCGAGTGCATAGTGAAATGTCTGTTGTTTAATGGGTCGTGTTTAGGCATCTGATGGACCGCCTGGACAGCTCTTTGTCGGAGTTATATATGCCGGAATGTAATATGTTCCGTCAGCGGCAACTTCCACAACGGCGGAGTCATAAACTGGGATGTAATATGTCCTGGACGTGTTAGCAGCAACTCCGGGTTTACAAAGGTTTACAAACTACGCGGGGGTTGTGAACAAGAATGTCTTGTCTCACGGATATGTGTCGAATTTGGTGTTGTAAACTCGTGTTGTTTCTGTTCCACAGAGGTTTACTCAGTACTTGGCATCCAGCAACTGTAACTTCCAACTCGGCTCTTTCCTGGACAAAACTGGCGGTGAGTAAACAATGTCTATCTTACATAGTTGACACTGTAAAAGTAGCGAGTTACGCCGAGAGTCGCTGGTTATAGGGTCTCGCTGGGTGGATCAAATTAAATAGAAGACTAACTAAGGTGCACATTAATTAGTATCCAATAGCTCAAACCTAGACTCACCGTTCACTTAACCAACACGGCTTTCTAACGCAACTGTTATTTTTGGCTACAGCTGCTTTTGCTGAGCTCAGGTTTCCGTTTCTTGTGGCGGGGATTCTGGCTTTGTTTGAGTTGCCTGGCTTCACTCGGTTGATGTGGCGCTCTGCTGCGCGCTGCGATAACCAGTGAACTGATCAGAAACCGCTTCTGTCCGCACACAATCTCAGACGCCAGCCAAAGTAAGAGCCTCTCGCTACCTTCCGCCTGTCAACGGGGCTGAGCGCCGCTCTCGGACGCAGCTATCAGCATGTGCTTGTCAGCCCCAGCTCCTCTCTTTCAGTCTTTCTTTTTTGCACATAACGCACCGATATTCGCGCAGAGAAATGAGCATGAGCAATCGAGGAAAGTGATGGCAGTGGCGCGAACGTGTCGTGACTGCGAGGTCGTTTTAGCCGTGGAATTAGTTACGGCGTATGTGGAGTACTTGTCGAGTGGTAGTCGAGCTCTGTTTATTGCTCGTGTTGGTATTTGTCTCAGTTGTTTTTGTCGTTTGTGTGGTGTTAATACCTGGCCATTTCCGTCTAGACGCTATAATTGTCAACTACAGGTTCAACCCCGGTTACGATTTTTAGTACGTGAAGCTAGTTGCCTCGTTGAAATGATATCCACACATATTACTTTGCATGCCTTGTGTTTTTCCATGCATCGCACTGACTCACTTATCAGTAATTACATCACACTTGCATCCACTGACGTTCCTTGCTATTGAATGAGGTTTCACTCATTTCACTTTGAATTGCCTGTCTGACCCTTGTCTAATGTCTAGTAAGACATTCCCTAAAAATAACGATCCTTATGCCGTCTGGGCGGTCTGACTCACACCCACAACAACTTCCCGTTCGTAGCTCACCCCTCCCCTCCCCTCCTCCCCTCCGTGTCAGTGGGGAGGAAAGGTCCCCCACCTGAACCCTACCTGCATTCCCGCTCGTAGACCTCCCCTCCCCTCCCCTCCGTGTCGTTGGGGAGGAAAGTTAGTGCCGTCCGTCCTCCGCGGCTAGTTTACCCGGTCCGGACGGCCTACCTCGGCCGCCGTGTGCATATTCGCGGCTCGAAATGTCCGGTGTCGGTGTTATCGATACCGGCCTGGTGACCGACAGGGGGAGGGAGGGGGGGAGGGGAGGGGTGGCTCGGGCTCGGTCGGGACTGGGAGGCCGGTGGCAGAGCGACGGGTGCTCTCAGTCTCAGCACTTGGGTCACGGAAGGAGACGTGGCCTTGGCCGGCACTGGGAAGAAAGTCGATGAGGCTGGATTTAGCCCTCTTTGACGAGCACCTTACTGTGCGAAATTAAAATGATGGCCACCCGAACTCACAGTGCATTTGGTTTATAGCTGTTAGAATGCACGGACACTGTTGTTAGGCCTATTAGAGGGTAACTGCAGCCATCATCGCTGAAGTTCTGAAAAAAACATGTTTTCTGCTTCACGTACATTTGCGGCGATTTATTTTGTAATAGATAATTCCGTAATGACCAGGCACCTTTGTATTACGTCATATTTGTAAGCATGATCTCTTATAATTGTCTGTGTGCGATCTTATCCCAAACTCCCGTGTCGTCTGTTCGGTAGTGTCGTCTGTACGGTAGCGTGGTCTCGTTGCAGCTGCTCGTCATTATTGTCTGTAACCCTCAATCGGGCCCCTGAAACTGGTCTCCGGCCAGTCCTAACCCGTCTCCCCCTGTCCACCGCACCATTCGGTCCAGGGTGTACTGACCGGACCGGACCGGGAAATAATGTTGTTTGTATGCGTGCCTGGCGGCGCTGAGTCGCTGAGATGTGGGTGGGTGGACCCTCCCCTCCCCCGACCTCCCTTCCCGGCCAGCGGGGGCTCATCAGGGATCGATACCCACCACAGACGGTCTCGGAGCGCGACAATGGAGCTTCCAGCTGGCTTCCATTTCGGTCACTTCCAACTCCGATGGACCGGCCTGACGTTGGACCGGACCTGACTGGACCACGACTGAACTGAAAAGTTAATACACTCGATGCCGAGACGTGTCCAATGTGCCTGTTACGTGTCTTCCTCTTCTGTCTTATTGAGCGAGCACCCCTTCCCGATGGTCACTCTCCCCAACCCTGCCCCCAGGCTATGACATGTCCACCTACATTAGGCGATACGCCAAGTACCTGAACGAGAAGGCCATGAGCTATCGCGCTGTCGCCTTCGACTTCTGCAAAGTCAAACGCGGGTAAGTCATTGGGCGCTGCGTGGCGCGGTCGCTGACTACGCTGGATTGTCGTTTCCTGTACCGTGATATGCAGTTTTTATGGTGGATGTCTTTTCCGTCTGGCCGTTCAAGTTTTGTCGCCGGGAACTGAGTCAGCTGTGTGAAGTAGAACTTCGATTGATGGTTCCACAGAAGGGAAACTGGTCAGTGTTTGAATGGGCTCCGCTGCTGGTGGGGGCGGACTGTGCCGTTTCGCTGAAATGGCTGCATTGTGTATGTGCGTCATCACCGGGCCAGTGATGTTTGTGTTGGCGGTACACTGGGCAGTGGGCACGTTACCCTCATTCTTTAACTAGGATTTCTTTTCTACTCCACCTCACGTTTAATAGAAAACGGAGGCAAATTATCATGCATATTTTCACGGTCTTACGAGTTACAACGTAGCCTATGGTTGTTTCTCATGACAAGTTGATAAATCCGGCATCGGTGATCTAGATTCCCTAACATTTACTTTAAAGTGCAGCCCAACTGTCAACAAAAGCTCCGTGGCTGTGATGCCGCAGTCCGGCCGTGCCGCGCCGGCCGGTCACAGTCAGGGGATGTGTCCGGTCCTCTCCCGTGCAGGATGGCTCAATGGTCGTCGTGTCTGGCGGTGCCGGTCGTTACTGTTCAGCCGGGGCCGGCCGGCGCACGGGTTCGCTCTCCTCTCCCCGCCCGGGCCGCGGCGTGTCCGGTCGCGTTACGGCGTCGAGCGGGGGGCGGCACTGGCCGCGGCCAGCAGCCGCTGTCCGGCCGGCGCCGCCAGACAGACGGACAGCCGCGGCAACAGGCCGTGGCGCAGCGGCCGCCCGGACCCGATTAAAAAGACGGCCGGACGGCTGCACCGCCGTGTCGCCGTCGCCCTGGACTCTGCACGCTGGGACGGACCCGAGAGGGTGCTGGAGTGCCGGCTCGTCGAACTCTGGTCCCCAGCAAGGCCGTTCGACAAACTCGGTCCCCATGTGCGGGTCCGTGAACTCGGCCAGTCAGCTGGTGCGTCGGACCGTGCCCGCGCCTTCTGTTCAGAGCCGTCGCTGTCGACCGATGTATGACGCGCAGCTGGCAGCTGATTGCGCAACACCCGCCGGAGTCGGCGCGACTTGGGCCGTCCATTAGCCCAGTCGGGACGGTGCTCCGTGTCGCCCCGACATCGCGAGCGGCCGGTAAATGCCTGACCGGTCCAGTCCGGCCCGACAAGGTCGAGCGGGTAACGGTGGCCGCTGTCACCGGCACGGGCGCCGTATCGTAACCACAACAATGCAGGCACCGGCTGCGTTTGAGTGTAGTAAGGCGCCGCTGAGGAATCGGAACGCAATTGTAACACGTTTGTTGCGACAAGTTTCCTCATTTTCGGCATTGTGATGGTGTGTTGAATGGCGGCCTTGATTCATTGCACTACGTATTGTGCGAGCCACAGAGTGTGAAAATGAAAGTAAGATCTAACGCGATACATAATTTTAGGAAGCCTGCTTAGGTGTGCTCAATGCTCAACATACATATTTTTAGAAGCGAACATATTGAACAGGTATGCAAGTTGTGCCTGATTCGGGTAACAGCCTCTAAACACGAGAACATTCAAATTTATCCTCAGAATGTTTTCATGCGTTTTCTTTAGACTCTTTCTTTAGATCATTTCATTGGTCGCACTGCTGAGAGTGATGCGATGACACCTGCCAGAATGTTATACCTGCGAGCGCCAGCTACTGGGTACCGTGGTGTCAATCCCAGGTAGACGTGCGGCCCAGTTTCACGGTCAGGCCCGGGCCAACCGCTCGGCCCGTGGGTGCCCCAGTCCGCTCCTCGCTCACTGCCGTGACCAGTTACGTCATACGTGGCCGGTGAACCGTTCGCTCCCTTTGCGAAATCAACTGCCGTCACGGTGAAGCTTCTGCGCCTGAGTGAAACATGACCTTTCCATTTCTGTTGCCAGTTGCCACGCACTGAAGCGACTAAAAATTGTGACAAAAAGCTGTCTGCTGATTGAGTTTTATTCTATGGATTGATTGATTTATCGTTCACAGAATAAAAAGTATGATAATTAGCTGGCATCCATATACGGCAAGTCACTCTTTCTTATCGCTTTTAGGAGCTATTTTCCGTAACATGCAATTAATTTTACGAACCGTCTAAAGGCTGTGAAAACTGAGGGATCCATGAAAGTGCGCATCTTTCACACGGATCTCTCAAGCCCGTCTTTCTCGGGCGCCTCGATACCGGCCAAATACGACACACGGCTCACTGAGCAGCGCGTTTCCCTGTGTTCCGCAGAAAAGAGGAGGGTACTCTGCGCAGCATGGCGGCGGAGAAGCTGCTTAAGACGCTGCCCGTGCTGCAGAACCAGATCGACGCGCTGCTGGAGTTCGACTGCTCGCCCAACGAGCTGACCAACGGCGTCATGAACACGGCCTTCATGTTCCTGTTCCGCGACCTGATCCGGCTGTTCGCCTGCTACAACGACGGCATCATCAACCTGCTCGGTAGGGTCCGGGCCGGCGGTGGGACTGTAGGAGAGCAGTGATTGGGAGGGAGAGATAGCTTAGCGGTGTGAAATTAGAGATGAGATTGGGGTGGACAGTACGGGGGATATGGTTTGAAGTGAACGGATGAAGAGAGCGAGTTTGTAGTGGTGGGAGGGTTGTAACTTTTGAACGGAGATAGCGTTACTTTGACTGTATAGCTTAGAATGATGCACACTTTCAGATCTAATCGGGATGCACTCGTTGATGTTGGTCTAATAAGGGCATGGCACTACGTGCCATATCTCAGGAGCCGTCGGTATCGAGCGGTGGTAGGCGGGACGGCCGCCCATGAATATCAGCCCAGCCGCCGCCGACGCGCTTTAGCACGTCCGTCTTTTATGCGATCCGTTCAGCTTGTTGGCTGGAGATCGGCGCCCAATTTCTTCGCCAAAGTGTGTTCCCGTAAAAGGCAAGAAGGGACCGCAGGTCACCTGAGTTATTGATTAGAAATAAATCACCTCAGAGTGACCTACGGACTTTTTCTTTCTTTCTTTTTTTATTTTACCCCGCACTGTTTTTTTCAGAGAAATATTTCGAGATGAACAAGAAGCAGTGTCGGGAAGGTCTGGACCTGTATAAGAAGTTTTTGATTCGGATGGACAAGGTGGCCGAGTTCCTGAAGGTGGCGGAGGTGAGTCCGACGTCCCCGGCCGGCCACTGCCGGCGTTTGCAACACCTACCTGTCACTATCGTGATATCTGATCTGACTCAACTCCTCTCTTTTCATTATCTGTTAAGACCGCTTTAAATCGTTATCACGACGTCTCAATAGTCCATCGCATCCTTTCCTTACAAATATGTGATTTTGCACATCCTTTGCGTGTCTGTGTCTGTGTGGCGGCGGTGCCGGCGTCGCTGGCGCCCTGGTCGGTTCCATCCACCGTCCTCCGCTCCGTCGGTGTCCGCTCGGCTGCGCCGCGTCCCTCTGGCCCTTTCGTCCGTCTGGGACCGTCCGAACCGCCCTCACCCACCGGTCAGTCGGGGACTAAGGTCCGCGGCCGCATCCTGGCGCCCTACGCAAAGTCTGTGGCCTGCTGGCCACAGACTGGCTGTGGCCTGAGAGTGAAAATGTTGCGCAAGTATCGGGCATATTACATCTTGCGGTATATAATTCCAATCTGTTCATATCGTTTCGTTTTCATACCAACAGCATACGAGTTACAGCATCGTTACATACATCGGTGGCAATCAGCTCATTCTTTGTCGATTCCAATGAACTTTCACCGCTATAACCCAGAACTCTTGATTTTATCGATGCGATCTTGTGACGGTCGTGATTGTATTATCTTGTTTCCCGGCAGCGTATCGGTGTCGATAAGGGTGAGATTCCTGACCTGGCCAAGGCGCCGAGCAGCCTTCTGGACGCGCTGGAGCAGCACCTAGGTCACCTGGAGGGCAAGAAGGCGGGCACTGCCAACACCAGCAGGTCAGCGTCCCGTCTGGCGTGACCTCTGACCTGTGTCTGACCTCCGGTCGGGTCACCGACACCCACTTGACCTAAAGCTCTCGCTCAGGGGTTTCTTCTTTATCGCACTATTTCCACCACGACTTGGTATTTTTGTTTAGCATTGCAGTAAACTGGGGGTTATTGGTTTGGTTTGAAGGTAGCCCGATAGTCCAGTGTGCAGATTGATATATTTTTAGCTCGAAATCGCTCACTTTTGAGCGCCAACTCGGAATAATAATTGCCAGCTGTCTATTAGGATAAGTACTACGAGGTTCCGAGAAACTTTTCACGTTCAATGCTCGTTAACGTCAGTAATTTATCTTGCGATTGATCGAAATTCTCCGAAATCATCACCTCATAATGCATCCGTTGAGTGGAGAGACTGCCCAATAGTTCCTTCAGAAGGGCAGACAGGTTTTGTTCCATATTGCTCCTGTGACCGCACATTTCAAAGGCGCCTTGCATGCGCTTCAAGTAACGTCTGTTTTGTTATTGGTTTACGTTTAGATTTTCTTTTTGTTTGGAGCACGATTTTTGTTTTTGATGCGTCGTTCGTCTTGGTGTCTCGGTTCCGGCAATATCAACTAGCATTAATTGGCGTTACTCGTTAGTGCTTTTGTGTACGCTTTCAGGCGGTAGCGTTGGCTAGCCATTTTTTGCAGCTCACTACCTTATTTGTTCGTATTTTGTTATTTAGTGTCATGGAATAACAGGGTAGTGACCTGGTGTTTTTTGCATAATTTGTAGATAGCTAGCCGTGTGCCATTTATGGAATCAGCCAGCCTTCACAGCGGTATTACAGCGGTATCAGTTCGATAACGTTGTTTTTTGTCCTTACCGCCATGTGTTGTATCCTCGATAACGACCACCCGTTCCGTTCGGTACGCTCAGGGACTGCTGGCTGGTTCCGCGTCTCCGTCCGGGGCCGCCAGTGTTTCCTCAGTGTCACCCCCTCCCCTCGCCCCGGCACGCCCCGTCTGCCTGCTCACCCCTGGCCGGCGCTCACCCCCTCCCCCTGCATGACTGACCGGTGTGTGTGCGCGTGTGCTGCATGCCCCCCGGCGCCGGTGCGGTCACAGGATCAACATTTCGTCGGCGGTGACGGCGCTGACGTCGACCAGCTCTGCGTTCGACAGCTCTGCCACCGGCGTCGACGAGGCGATACGCTGGCAGGCGCTGGCAGATGAGGAGGCTGCCCTCGAGCACCTCAAGGTGGGACACCAAACCGTAAGAACGGGACGGGGCGGCGCCGCCGCAGAGGCGAGAGCTGCCTACATTAGAGGAGGCTGGGTGGAAATGTCGCTTTGATTAATCACAATTGCGGTTGTATGGTGGTTGGTGATTTACGTGTAGCGTTTGTCATCACTGTTTGTGCCTTTTAGAGCGTGTCTTTTCTAGTGTTGGCCATCCATCGATCGTGCCATTCGTGAGATTTATGAGCATGTCCATCAGTACCGCTATCTCCGTGTGCAGTGCTGCCAGTCTGTCGTTGATCACTCGCCCACTGCGCGCCGCTGATTGCCACTAACCGCCCTCCTCCACCCCCGTTCGCCACCGGTGCAGGAGGAGCATCAGAAGACCAACCCGTTCCTGAGCTCGCCGGTGTCGGAGGCGGCTCCGGCGGCCACCAGCGCCGCCGCGGCCACCACGGCCGCTCCGGCCGCCAGCTCGACCAACGGCAGTTCCAGTCAGGCGGCCTCCATCATCGACCTGTTCGGCAGCTCGGCGGCCCCGGCGCCGGCCGCCCCCGCCGCGGTAAGACACCCTTCCCCGCCCCCGCGGTAAGACGCCCTTCCCCGGCCCCTAGCACTGAGACAGTCCGTCCCCGTCCCCAGCAGTGAGACAGCCCGCCCGGCGCCGGCCCCCGCCCCCGCGGTGAGACAATCCGATCCCTCCCTGGTCCCGTAGCAGTGAGACCTCCAGCTCCCGGTCCCCAATGAGACAGCCTTCCCCCGCCTCCCCACGTCCAGTAGAGCAGCCCGCCCAGGTCACCATCAGTAAGACTGCCGTCACTGCCCGGCCCCGGCGCCGGCCGCCGCCCCCTCGGTGAGGCAGGCGCACAGCCCGCCCCCGCTGGAGACCCGTGGGCGGCCACAGGGCCGGCCGGAAACCTAATCCTGTCGCTGACCCACGCTGGCCAGCTCCAGGAATGCTTAATTGAATAGTCGATTTCGGCATTGCCCGGATTTACATAATACCCTTAGCATATGTTACATAAATGCCAATTGAATTGTGTGCAAAATCACCCACGTTTTTACCTTTAAATCACATCAACAACTTCATTTACATATCTGACGAACGTGCCTGTCACATTGTCCGGCTCCGCACGCGAGTCTCTGCCCACTGGCGCCACTGACGCTCCTCGTGTCTCGCATCTCGACAGCCGTCCAAGGCGTCTGATGACCTACTCCAGCTGACCGGCAACCCGTTCGCCGACATCATGGCAGCCTCGCAGCCGACCGGGCCGCCGCCGCCGCCGCTAGCCGCCATGAACGGTAAGGGAGGGTGCGGGGTGGCGATAGCGAGAGTGAGACTAAAGATGGCGTGATAGGCTGCGTGTACCGGGATATTTTGGAGTATGCTGTAAGCTGTTAGTAGTTGTTTGGTGAAATAGGCTGCTCACTGATTGCCAAAGTTTTTCTTAGTTATGAACTCCTTTGAGGTTGGGCATGGCTCGTTGTTTGGAATGCTTCCATGTGATACCAATTGCGGATTGATATAAGCGTTCTTCGTTACACCTACCACTGCGATACGCAATGATCCCCAGGCACCACCATCCGCCACCTGTTGGGTGACGAGTCACCCTGGGTTTCATCCGGCAGCATCTTTTCTTACATTCAGTCCAGCAGTTTTCCTGTGATATACTCGTTTTACTAGTATAACGTATCTCAACTAGTTCTATCTTTCTTCAGTTCGTCAGTTCTCTGTTGACAAATCCCCTTTACCAGTACAGCGTTATGGGCGCAAAATGACCACCGCAGTCGACGCGCCCGTAAACCCTAATAAACAAACAATGACTCGATGCTGTTTGACGTGGGTAGGTTACGCCGCCCGAATGTTCTTTGTTCTAGGTGCCGGTGCTAACAGCTTCAACCTGTTTGACTCGGCACCGAGCGCCGGGTTCGCCAACTTCGACATGATCCAGCCGTCGCAGGGATACAGAGGTAAGAGCGAACCTTAAGTTACCAATCAATTGTCACCGACTTACCGATCGGTAACCAGATAGAGTATTTTCGATTGCCCGTGATGGTGGAGGTAAGCTTCACTTTCCATTTTTTTTTTTTATCATGGAAAAAGCAGCTCGGCTTTCTGGTAATACATTTCTGGTAATACATAATGTAGTTACATTCGGATTGAGGATGCCAGTTGGGGACTATAACCGTTACATAAACATTTATTTTGAGCTGCAAATGTCAGAATGGCATGTTGATGCCATTTTGAAGCGCCGCAGTATGTCCTTTGGCCATGCGACGCTTCAATATGGCATCAACATGCCATATTGAAAGAATGGCATGTTGCTGTCATATTGAAGCGTCGCAGTATGTCCTTTGGCCATGCGAGATTCCGTCACTCACTGAGGTGCTAAATGCAAATGCATCTGTTAATTGTGTGTGCGGATTCAAATGCAGTATGTGCACGTTTCAAGCGCATACGAAGTACGCATTCATCGATCAGTAAGTGAATTCAAGAGCAATTAGCACCATATATGTATATCATATTGTACTGCTTGGTCCTAATGGAGATGGCCGGCTGATAAAATAATCCACAAGTAAATTAGCGCGCCCTGCTAACTGTGCCCGTGACACGCGGGTCGGCTCAAGATTCTGGTCGGCTAGCCGTTCAGCACTGGTTTCTGGTTTAAGTAGTGTGCGGCGCTGCGCATGAGTACGCTGGTCCCTACAGGGCACTAGCGCCGGTCCTTTGCCTCCCTTATACCCTGCCGCGCCGTCGTCTCGCTCCGCTGAGCGGTGGTGGTGTCGTTACACGCAGCTGAGGAAGGTCAGCCGGCGGCCGGCGCCGAGCCCCCGGCCGCTGCAGCCGCCGCCGCCTCGGCCCCGCCGCCGGCTGGCGAGACGAGCACAGGTAACGGACGCCGCACTCGGCCCGCCGCCCGCCCGGTCACTCTGCATGCGGCGAGGGCGAGGCCGCGGCGCGTCTCTCGGTGTTGTGATGTGTTCAAAGACGGTCGAGGGAGATGTTCGTCGGCACTGGTGTTGGTAGGAATGGCGAGGAATGGCGACTGAAGACTGCATGGCGGTGTTGAAACGTCAGTGATGCACGACTGTTCCACAGGTGAAGGAGTGTGAGCGACTGCGGCGAAGACACCATCGTCGGTGTGTGAATGCGATTGATCGTAGCTATTAGTCGTGGTCGTTTCAGTTCCGTTGCATTTGGAAATAGGTATCGGTTTATTTTCGTGACATTTGGAAACGTGTCTCGGTTTATTTTCGTGACATTTGGAAAGATATTATGTGTCTGTCAGTTCTTTGGAGGCTTGTGTCTGTGCGTTGTTATGAATTTATGTGTGTAGAGCTACTTGATGGTGTGCCCCAGACTGCCAGCTGTATTTGCAGTTCGTCTTCCATGGCCGTGGGAGCTACCCTTCTGACACCCCGCCTTCCCACCCACCGCCAGGCCCGAGCGTGTTCGGCGACGTGCTGCAGCCGACGGGCCGCGCGCCGGCGCCGGCCATGGGCGCTCCGCAGGCGCAGCGGCCGCAGCCGCAGCCGAAACTCATCAGCAGCGACCTGGACATGAGTCTGCAGAGTCTGGTGCAGAACCTGGGCATCTCGGGCGGCGGCGGTGCCCACACTGCGCAGAAGCCGAGCTGGGGCTCGCCTTCCAAGAACACGACCAGGACCGGCGGACAGAACTGGACCGTGCCGGCCGCCTCCGGGCTGACCGGCGCGCCACCGCGCCCCATGGTACGGCGCCAGAGGGCGGGCGGGTGCACTGTCTGGGAGGGCTGGGAATCGGTGCTGATGCTGCAATCTAAGAGCATAAGCCATTGTAGCGAAACTCTTGAGAGGTAGGAGCTGTTGCCTGAATGTTGCATCGTGCAACTTTCACAAACAGCCAGTAGTCCAGGGTTTCGCAGAGACGGATGCCCTTTTTTTGTTCCACAGGCACCCCTCTATCACCCTGGATCGGCTATGCCACCACAGCAGTGGCTGTCCCCTACCTCACCCTGTAACAGTGTGTGACCTGCCGTGTGTCCATGCTCCGCAGGGTCCCGGCGCCATGCCGCCGCAGCAGGGTCAGACTCCGTTCGGCATGTACGGTGCCCCGCAGCCGGCGCCCGTGGTAAGTGTCGGCGGATGGAAGAGGCGGTGGTGGGTCCAATTCTAATGGCAGAACAGTTGGGGTGGGGGCTGTACCAGAGCGTTCAGCTCTGCAGCGGTACAAATAACCAGCGTGATTAGTATCATTAATTGGACAGTTGGGCCCGGTTTATGAAAGTATGGACGAGGAATTGAACTTCAAGTGAGTAGCAGAGACATTATTGCCAAGTCCCCCCGAAGTACATACATCAGTCAGTGTTGCTCGCTGCACGAGCTGCTGTGATATGAGCCGCATCTACAGTTCGTCCGCTCTCCCCGTCATGCAGTGCGCACTGCCTGATTGACACGTCCTCCTTTTTCAGGGTGTGCCGGCCGCCAACCCGCAGGCGGCCGGCGCCTTCGATCCGTTCGGGCATTTGTAAGCGGGTAGCCCGCAGAGGTAGATGGAACAGAACGGCGAAGGTCAGTACCCGCGGGGCCACCGCTAAATGTGTAGCTGGGGTTACGGATAATCGGTTACATTTTGACATTCCGTGACGGGTGTTTGACGTATTTATAATATACGTCATTATCATTTTTATAGCTATTTCATCTGATAATTCATGAATTCGTTACTCGTTGGAGGGTGTGTCATTTGGTTTGATGAAGCGTCGTAAAGTGGATTCTCTAGATCGAGTTCGATCGAGTTTGTTTCTATTTTCTTTGTTTTGTTTGTTTATTGGGGCTTTAGGGCGCGTCGACTGCAAAGGTCATTTTGCGCCCATTTGTTTCTATTTTCGATGAAAGTTATCGAGGCGTTCTGGTGGACCTATCATCGATCTGTATTCTAGCTTACATGCGTCTTCGTTTGTTCCACGTCCCCCATCCTTTGTATCGTCACCAGCACTCCCCTCTTCGCCTGTGTGCAGGTCCCGCTGACCGTCGGCCGCCCGTGTGTCCGGCAGGGACAGGACGAGGCGCGGCCGTCGCCGCCGCCGCCGCCGTCTAGGTTGTTGTGCGCGTGTTGTCGGGCCGGCGCCGCCTCTCAGTGTTGTCTGTCAGCCGTGTGTGTGCCCCGGTAGCTGCCCCGGCGGGTGCAGAGGCGCCGTCTGCGCCGTCCCCGTAGTGTGACGGTCGCCGAGCGGTGCGGTAGCGGCGGTCGGCGGCTCCCGCGGCCCGGCCGGTGGTGCCAGTCGAGAATAGCACGGTGTGGAGGGCCTGTCGGCGGGGCCGGCCGGGCGGGCCGGTCCGCCGGGCTCCGGTCGGCTGCAGAGAGTGAATGTACCGTGTCCGGTGCAGTCGCGCCCGGCGGCCCGGCCCGCCCCGACCGGCCCACCCTCGCCCGCCGGCCAAACGCCAGAGGCGCCAAATGACGAACAACTGCCACCAAACCAGCAGCTGCGAACAGCCAGTGCATGCCCCTACAGTTGTTATACTAAAGTAATCTAAAATTGGCCGAGGCCCCAGTCCGCAATACTACGGAATATAATACGTGTTGTTGTGCATTTCAGCCGTATCTAGTGTGTACTCTGTGAGCCGCTGGGCATGTTTTGTCGTTGGTATGGTCTCTGGTCGAGTGGCCCCAACATTCCAGAGCTGCGCGCCGCCGCGGTACAGCATGTTTTTCGGCCGGACGCGCGCGCGCTCCGTCTCGACTCGCCGATACACCGAGCTCTACTTAGGACGAACCGACTAGCTCTTCCCTGCCCTGACCGCGGCGCTGGTGATATAGGGGGCGCGCGCGGGTGTCTAGGCGGCAGTGGCCGGCCGCGCCCCAGATCTGAGGTGTCTAGGCGGCGGCGGAGTGCTCGGCCGGAGGCAGATGCATTATATACATACATTATTTCTGATCGTGGTAGTAGCGTTGTCGAGTATGGTTGTTACGTCAATGGACCCACACAGCAAGCCGTCGTTTATTTCCCTTCGGAGCCCTGTTTGTTACAGCAATCTGCATGAAAACGTCGTGCGTTAGTCGCGGTTGAATTAATCAATTGGTATGGCCATATGAAGTTACTATCATTCTGTCCGATTCATTGCATAAGAAGTGGTGTTTTAGCACACGCATAGAGTCAATAAACTGCTATTCGCTGTATCAGCATTGCTTGTTTCTTCGATCGAGCGGAAGGAAAACTGACGGATTGCTAATGGATATTTTCTGGGCGATTTTTGTGTCTTTATCGCATTTATTGTGTAACTAACGAACGGTTGACCTTGTCTCATTAGATAAAGGGCATGACTACATTGACTAGTCTCGGTACACTAATGCAGCGATCGGGTATGCATGCTGAAAGCAACTTACTCGATTTCTACATCATGTATTGTACACCGACAAGTATACCGAATCAGACGACGCTTAGTCCATGACTCGGTCATATGTAAAAATCCAGTCAGCGATACGAGAAAAGACATCGGAAACTATGGGGGTATCGGGGACGGGGCGGCGCGGCCCTATAACCGCTGCTGTTCCCGCTTCAACCGGGAGCTGTAGGCCTGCGATACCGTGTTCCACGCGTCGATGTAGCGATCCATGCACATGGCGACGCATTTCTGCGGAGAGGGACAAAGAACGCCATACGAGTCACACTGCAGTGTACGGGGCAGGCAACGGAGAACGAGCTGAAGCTATTTCCATGAAAGGCGAAAGTGATAATGATAGAAAGCATGTGGGTGAAGGGTATCGTTGCAAGTGACCTCAAAGTGTTGCCAGCATTTCATGGCATTCAACTCACCTGTTCAGAGCTATCAAGTGCAGCACCAGGCTTGGATATACACTTCGCAAAGCATTTCTCTGTCATTTTCTGAAACAGACATTGTTTTATGGTTTGTGCAATATTATAAATACGAGTCGGTCGAAAATTAAGATACAATGCTGAACGAACGTGAGTGCTTCAATCACGATCCAATAAAAACATTATTATTCAACAAATACACTAAATGTTTGATAATTCTAACTAGAATGGCATCACCTAGGCAATTACTGAATCTATTGTGAATCCAACATGAAATGATAATGATAAATAATGAAATGAAATGATAACTTACAGTTAGAAGCTCCTGGGCATTTGCAACAGCAATCTGCTGTTTTACTTGCTCCATTATTTCATCTCGCTGAGCCCCAGTGATTCTGCTGCCACCATCCATGACTAGAATGTCAAATAGCTCCTGTCATTTGTGAATCCAGTGAAGGTGTTTTGGGATGGCATGCTACAGGGGCTGAAGAGCAAAACCACAAAAAAATCCAAAAACTCCTCAGATATTGTTTCCTTTTGTCTCGCAGAGCAATTTGAAACATACTTATCTGTTAAATCCATTTTGTTTTCATTACATAGTGCAAACACAATTTAATCAAATCTGGAAACTGAAGCAGGGGCATAGCCCGCATATGTGTAAAAGTCCCACGGATTGGCTGCTTGTTCCAATAAATATTAAATTAACAAGGATAAATAAACAATTGGATACATATTATAAACATTTTTCCTGGTTTAGTAATTGGGTTATTTAGGACCATGTAGGTACAGTCCACAGCAGAAGTAATGTGCGGTTTCAGTCATGGGTATGTTCTGCTTCTGAAACTTAGGAACGATTAACCAGAAGACTACAATGAAACTTTGAATGTAGCTTATATGTATCGTCACCCTTGCAGCTGCAACTTTAGCTATTGGCATCTTCTTTTCGATCACTCCGCATTAAACAATCGCCAGTCAAAGCCAACCGTTGAGATTGGTAAAACCCTACATTACTTTAGTGGTGGGCTGTACCTACATTCACCTCTATATTAGCATTTATCTGTAATTGGATGTGATATTTCAGACATTGAGCCTGTGTGCAAAATATTGTTGTTCTGGCTCACTATGACTAATAACTCTGCCAAGCCTTAATGCCTCTGTTAAGCCTTAATTCTGCTTAAATATGAAGAGTAAAGCCAGGAACATGGAAGTGTAAGGCAATTCATGTTACATGACAATCAGTTCATTCACTAACTAATCACTATTGTCATCAGTCAGTGACATGGGAAAATGGTAGGATTTAAAAGGATGTGTTTTTTTTTCTGTTAAAATGTGTAAAAATAAGGGTTATTATATGTCACAGTTTTCAGTTCTTCTTTGTCAGGAAATATCAATCCAAATGTGTTGGTCCCTATCGTATAATTAGGTATCAATTGAATGTGTTTTAACAGGTTCATTTTCACATCAAAGTGCAAATTACATATAATTGGATAATCTTTTAAACATCCTCTTCACCATTACTAGAAAACAATACCTTGGGCATACTATTCGGGCATTTTTGATGACTGAAATTTAAAAGTTACTGTGCAATGATGAGGGTGAAAAAAGCAATGATCCCAAAAATAGGCACCTTGTCAGCAATATAAACTTGACAATGACATAAGATATACATACCTGATATTTCTATAGGTTCAGACCGAAGGAAAATAAAGCTAAATTTAGAAAAAGTGAAAAAGTCCTGGGGAAATTGAATCCTATCCTAAACAGATCAATGGACACTATCACGCGTGAAATGACTCAAGGATAATGTTCGTAACAAGGACCTTTCCTGTTGATCTGGCTATTGAGAGCAGGATCAGCAGACGCGGGCAGAATATTTGCAAAGCAATTGGTTCGTGTAGGAGCTTAGGATGAAATTTGCAAAACTAGAACACCATGGACTGCTTCAGGAATGTAGCAGTTGCGCTGTAAAAGACCTAAAATATGGAAGCCTTAAAATATGGTAGCTTCGTTCAAAGAATATTTTACTTCATAGAAGAAATAAATTTTCGACTTTCCATTCAAATAATGTATTTATTTACTGCTCCGATGCATTTGGATATACTTTTAAAGAATGCCCAGATGTCGAGGGCAAAAGCAAATTGTGTGTTATCGGTCTCGTCAGTGGATTGCAGTCTGAAGAGCTGAGCTATCGGTTATCACCTCACCGATCAGCTCAGCACAGCTGAAAAGGTCGAAAATGGGGTAGCCATCGCTCGTTATTCCGCCGAGGTTTGCGTATCGGCGACCAGCGGTTAACGTCACGGTGGTTTGAATGTTTGTATTTTGGCGAGGCCTGGAATGGGTGTCGCTCTCCTCCATGTATATATCTCGGCGTCGACCGTGCAGATCGGCAGGGTCGGCCGACCGGCCAGTCGGGGTCGTCCCAGCGGGCCGATCGGAACTGTTGGTCAATATCGGCCGAAATTGTTTCCAGTCCAATCTGAGCAGTGGCTCCCTGGGGGGCGTCCGAGTCCGATCAACAGCAGCCGCCCCCGCCCCCGCCCCTGCCCCCGCCCCCTTCCCGCCAAGCCTGATGGACTACACTGCACGGCCGAATTTGGAATTAGCGGCGCTTTATACCATTAGGCATGCATTGACCTTTGGATCGTTCGGTATTCAGTGACGAACTTAGATACGATTATTTTTTGCTCTTGTACTCCGGTATCGGGTATAGGTAGTTGCTTACATCATTGCGGCTATCTTCATTCGTCTGGATTTCACCCACGTTGTGCCTGAAATCATACCGTTCCCACAGCCAGACATCGACCTGCAGCGGTCGGTGCACTATTGCCAATTCATCAACCCAACCGACCCGAAAATCAAATCATCAGCACAAAGCCGACAGAAATTAGCCCGCACACTGAAATGTTAACGGCCCGCCTCGAGCGAGCATAATAATGAGCTCCAAATCGCGCCGCGCCGGTGCCAAACGTAAAAATACGCGGCGGCCAGCCGGGCGATTCCCGCTACTGATCAGACCGCAGCCCAATTGAATTTGCCTGTGAATATTGAAAGGGCTTTTCAACACGTTGCCATTTCCGTCCCACCGGTGGATAAACTGCGAGGTAGAAATTGTTCGGTAAAACGCTCACAGATATATTTCTATACGGCCCTAAAATAGATCTGCTTGTGTTCTCTCTGTGAAAATAATGTGACCTGCGAGTAAAATAAAAACTCCACGACTCCACGTTTTTAACCCGCGCCCGGCTGGGGGTCCTGGATTTCCACGCCCTGCTGGGGGGGGGGGTGTTTGAACACCCCCCCCCCTTGTAACTCGGCTCCTGGGCCACGTAGCGATACGCGGAAGGCGGCGTTCGAGAGAGCGTCAAAAATAATGACGAAATCACTTCGGTCAATTTTTTGGTCAGGTCAAAGGTCAGGTCACCAGAGGTCATTGAAGGCAAAATTTCGCCGATTTCCAGGTCGAATGTCGAAAATTTCCAAGAAGCCAACGCATAACTCGGGAACCAATAGAGCTACAGCGCCGCGGAAAAGCGCATTCGATAGCCCTATTAACGCCCTTTCTGAATAATTCTCTCAGATTTGACCTAACGTCAACGGTTTTGCCTGCAGGGGGCAAAAACTGCAAAAATAGCCGATTTTTTCGGAAACAGTTTTTCTGCAATAACTTTTGACCCAAGCCTTGTTCGAGCTTACTTTTACCGGCATCGTGTTCCTCTCGTCAAGACGCATCGAATTAACTATAACTTGACCTTGAAAGGTCAACTTGAAAATTTGACCTCAGGTCAAGGTCATGACCTGACCGGAAAGGGTCATGTTGCATATCAGTCGATCCGTATCGTCGAGCTGAACACATCTAAGTCGTTTTCATCGCTCTAGCATGCCTCTATCAAAAGTTATTTGCGAAAAACTGTTAGATACCATTCGTGACCTAAGATGACCTCAGGGCATAAACAAGGGTCACGGACACCATTTTCATGTTCTGTGTGTCTAAACCACTTGTAATTCGGTGTTTGGGAGTGTTTATAATGTCTTTCGTCCAAAAGAGGCGCATTTCAATTTTCTCCCATTGACTTATAATGGGGAGGTCGCAAAATTGACCTGACCTTAGGTCATCGATATCAAAATTCTGAGATATACATTTTGTACATGCTATTGCTCTTAGCAATCGCTGAAAGTTTCAAAGCGATCAGTCACTCGGTGTAGCTATGACAGACATCGAAACTTTTTATGAGGTGAGGTCACTTCAAGTGACCTGGTGACCTGACCTTGAATGACCTTGGTCTGAAATTTTCACAACATGTGTAGAATTGATGTATGATAAGGTGTACCTCGCGAAAAACCACAAGAGGGGTGTTCAAACACCCCC